ACACAGTTTGAATCCACCGCCTGCCCTGTGGGAGAAAGATGGGCAACCTCCTCCCGTGCGATTTACTGCTTCTGAAAACCCACTGGAGGACAGATATAGGTGTGTTCCAACTCAAAGGTGCACAGCAACAAAAACAAACGAGGGAAAGTAATGGAAATGAAAAATGGTGCACCTAATCCAAGCCATGATGTTTTTAATAGCTTCCTAAACATCTGAAAATTGGACAATAAATAAGAACAGTCGGACTTTGAGTTGTGTGTTGGAGAAGACTATTGAATGTATCATGGACGGCCAAAAGAGCTCTAGTGGCCTGGTGGCAAGAAGCTGTGCTTCAATCTCCAAGACACGTGGTTTGAGGCAGGCCACCACTGCTCTGTGAGACGATGGGCAATCTCCTTCTGCATGATTAACTGCCTCTGAAAACCCCTGGAGAGTCCGTTGAGACTTGGTTCTGACTCTACTGTACACCATAACAACAATGGACTGCCTGCAGAACATGCACATCTACCTTGAAGGAACATAATTTTTCTCTCATTTACTTTTGGCATATTTTCAGGAGAAACAGGTCCTTGGAGACCGACATCACCCTGGAATATGTAGAGCCAGCAAAATACGGAAGATCCTCAACTAGACGGACTGCACAGTGAGAACAATGAGGGCTTCGCGCATGACAGAGGTCATGAGGCTGGAGCAGGAAAGGACAGGGCTCGAACTTGTTCTTAGCGGATCACCAGGAGTTCTAGCCGACTTGAGGACGCTGAATAGGGAAAAACGTGTCCTGAGAAGTGTTCTTGACTCTTTCTTACCTGAATTGGAATCTCTTAGCTTCCTTCATAAATCCCATAATCCTGAGTATGGTCTGGAGTCCTATGTGACCATTGCAACAGTGGACTCAGTCTACACACTGCCCGGCCCCCCACTTCTGGTGGAGGTCACAGTTTCACCCATTGGTGGCCTCGATTCATACTCACTCTGGGGGTATCTTCACCCCCTCACCACCAACGTCTTTGCTCACCTCCTGGAAGCCTCTTTTTCACTCCAGTCACCCTTTCTTCTACTCTCTCTCCACCTCCCCTCAGGCCCACCTCCACAACTGCTCTTGTCCACCTCTCTGGCTCTCCTAACTGATCCTTCAGCCCCAGTCTCCCAGGGCCTCTCCATCCTTTGTGACATGTCTTGGCTGGGTCCTGACCCAGTGACCCAATGCATCTCAGAACAAATTGCTCTTTGGACCTGCGTTCCCTCTGCAGTCAGCTGCTGATGGCTGCTGTGGCCGACAGGGCCTCATTAACTGATTGTAGAAGCAGTTCTCCACACCTTCTCCCTGCCTGACTCCAGAAGCCCTCTAACATGTGTTCAATATCACAGCGGCCTTGGGGCACAACTCTGCTAGCGCTGTATCAGCAGGTTTCCCCAACTACGCTGAGGTCTTGGAGGGCTAATGTGTCAAACAACATTTTATATCTTAGCGTAAGAAATAAAATCGAACATAAATTTATTTTTTCATAAAGCAGAAAAGCATAAAATATTTTCCCAGCTAAACAAATGACTTGTGAAAAACTATTTTAAAGGGCCAGTTGCAATTCATCCTTTAATTTCCTTTATGCTTTGTTGTTTGTTAATGAGTGTGTGTGTGGAGTGTGTGTGTGGGGTGTGTGTGCATGTAAGGGCACAGGCCTAAGTGATAAATCCTGCCTTCCCTCTCATTGCTTTCCCAGAAGGATGCTGCTGCTATGAGCTCACTGCAGGGTGGTACTTGCTCTGTTCCCTTGGGGCCGCCCAGCACCACCACACCGTAACTGTCCAGTGTGTCTTGGGTGGCTGATCATTGGGTGTATGCATTTCTGAGGTTTTTTCCTCCCATCTGTAGGCAGCAGCATTGGCTGGCGGGCAGTGGAGGACAGTCTCAGTGTCCCTAAGCCGTACCTTCCACCCAGGAGCAGCTGTCACTCCCACCTCAGCTGCCAGACAGACAGACCTGTGGTGGTTGAGTAGTGCCTGCAAGAGTCACCTTTCAGAGTGTGGGGCATCCACGTCCCCGGGCACGGTGTGTGTGTGTGTGTGTGTGCGCCCACGTCCCCGGGCATGGGGTGTGTGCCCATGTCTCAGGGCACGGTGTGTGTGTGCGCCCACGTCCCCGGGCACGGTGTGTGTGTCCACATCTCAGCACATGGTGTGTGCGCCCACGTCCCCGGGCATGGTGTGTGTGCCCATGTCTCAGGGCACGGTGTGTGTGTGTGTGTGTGTGTGTG